ATATATATTAGTTACTGTTCTTCTTCTCTTCTTCCAATAAACAGAGGCTCCAGATTTTAGATAAAATCGTCAAATTGCATTATGACTGTTGGACTTGTAGTTTATGATTTAAGTTCAAGGGTCAAACATAAAATTGAGTATTTTATAGATTTTATGATGAATATTTGATGAGGTTGAAACATCTTTCTTTACGACCGCCATTCAAATTTCTAGGTTTAATGTGTAACCCCTTCAAATGATTCGCTTTTAAAAAGGTTTTGTGTTGATTTGATACAATAAGAAGTTTTACTAAAATGAATGTCAAAGTTTTGAGCAAAAATTGAGTAATAGTTGCACAAACTAAATTTTGGGCGGACAAATGAAATACAGTTGAAAATTTCGCTCATGAGAATTGGTCAGAAAAAAAGAAATTTTAGGGCAAGGCGCTATAAACTGCGGTAATCCTCCAAATTAGCTTAAGTGCTGTAAAGAAAGTTTTTTTACTGAACGGTGCTACTTATAAAATCTCGACTGCTAACAGGTTTACTAGATTTAATTGCAAGAACATTTTACATTTAAGGTTAATACAGCTCTATATAACTGGAATAATTTTTTTAAGTCTTGTTTTTAGCGAATAAAGCACAATCTACCTTCTCCTTAAAGTTTTATTAAAAAATCTAAATTACTCACTTTTAAGTTGTGATCTCTCGGTTTGTTGTATTCCTCATTTGTTATCATCAGAATTTCAAGACGTTTATGCATTAAATGCGGAAAAGAAAGCTGTAAAGCATTTTGCTTTAAACCAAAAAGTGCCAAATTTTGTTATTTATTTTGTGACATAACCTGCATTTAGAATTTTACAAATTTCGCTTTTATTTTTACAAATTTTTTTGGCAAAAATTACTCTAGAGCAAAGGTTTACAGGTAATTTAAATCGTCTTTAGTAAATCCCAGGTTTCTGAAAAAATGATTTTTAACAATTCTGAGCTGTTAAATTTTGGAAATATTTGATATTATTCTGTAAGTAATGTGTTGTAAAAGCAGATAGTAATTTTGCTTGAAAAACCGTAGACCAAAAAGTTTCTAGACATGTTTCGTATAAGCTATTTAGAGCTTTAGCATCAAAAAGTAAAGGTTTTGAGCAGGTTTACCTCTGCAGTTACTTATTTCATAATTTTAGCAGACCATTTCACCACTAAAATCTTGTCATCATAAGTTCTTTGAAATCTCTTCTTTTTCTTCTCTACAGTTAGAAAAAAAATTTCTCAACCTCGTTAAAATATCTTGCAAATACCGGTAAAGCAACCAGTGAAAGAGCATAAGCGAAACAGTTGAAGTGGTAGATTGAAGAGGAGAAAATGATAAGAAAAAAAACTGTTTATTAAACGAATAAATATGTAACTTTTTTTTATTTTAAATACTTATATAACCTTTGATTATTGAAGAATATGATTTACAGCTAATGTAAAATTGTACATTTGCTAATTGCAGTTTCAAATTCAGACCACAACTAATTCGTCGTGTTCATGCAACAGTTACCTATTTGTTACTCTTCTGTTTTCTCTTATTCACCTCCTATATTTTAGATTTTGTAATCAGATTAATCGAGAAAAAAGAAGAATTGAGATTAAGAGAGTCAAACTGTTCACATTATTTTTCGTAAGCAGAATCACTTAGTGAGTGACCGGTGTTATACAAACGCAGAAAAAAAAAAAAGAAGAAAAATTGCCTTAATATCCATTGAATTAAGCTTCTTTACAGGTCTTTTTCTTTCTTTTAGTTTTCTTTTCTTCTTCTACGTTTTCTCATAAACAACAAATTCCCCAGATTGCAGTAGCAATGAAGTAAATTTTATAGTTGTGGTTTTGAACAACTGCTATTCACAAATTTTTCTTCTATTACTGTAAAAAAAAAAAATCTGTTTATACAAGTAGCGTTTTCTTGTCTTTCCATGTCTTTTCACTGTTTATTAGCTGCGTTTTTTGTTGATTGAATTTACATAGCATTATAAAATTTTAATTATATTCCCAAATTTTAAGAATAATTCGACAGAAGAGCAGCAAGCAAACTAACACTTAATGTAAGAAACCTCTATTACATATTGTTTATTTCTTCTTTATTAATATCAGATCAGAATTCTTTTCATCACTTATAATTATTAAATATAACTGTTAGGATCCTACTCAAGAGATTTTTGCTAAAAAAAATTTTGCTCAAACTGTTCTAAGTTTTAACAGAAGTAATGAATTTTAAGTGTCGGTCCAATGTCTGTCTGAGTTTTACTTGAGTTTCTTTATAGAAGTACGCGCAGAAAAAAAATCTGTAGGCTCACTAAAGTAAAAAAAATTTTTTTTTTAATTACTCTATTCGTAACAGTTTTGACCAATGAAAAAAAATTTTTTTTTAAGTATTTAATGTATAAATTTTGTTAGTTTACTGAGATGCACTGTTATTGGTATTTCAACTTTTTTTTTTTTTTTGTACTTACACTTGTTCACACTATTAGACACGGTGTAGAAAAAAATTTGAACTATTTAGTGCCCTATACAAACAAATATAAACCCTCTCCCCAGTTCCAAAAAATGTTACGACCAAATATGTGAAAAAAAAGTAAATACAAAAATTTTGTAAATACACATTAAGAAAAAAAAGAGAAGGCAAAAAAATTTTATGCTGAAAGGATTAAGAATTTGAAAGATTTTTGACCTGGTAATCACAGATTTGGTTTTTGAACACAGTTACTGTTGTTACTGTGCTGAGAATACTTGTATCACATAACTAAACTGTATTAAGTTAAAGTTGAAATAAATAAAAGTAAAAACAGAGAATAAAGCTTTTTCTTTTGAATGTTTATTATACGGAAAAGTAAAACTATAAGATAAAAATTGTTTCTTTGCTTTTTCAGCTGCAATTTTGTTTTTAACTTTTTTTTCTTAACTATTTCACAGTTGTATTCGTTTGTTTTTGTGGTAGAAAAAACTTATATAATGTATTGTCTTCGAATTATTATTAGCAAATGATTATATTATAAATAAGGATAAAAAATAATTATTTTTTTTTTTGGCTTCACTGGGGTATTTAAACAGATCTATTACAAAGCTAAGCTTAGTGATTTTAAAATTTCTTCAAATTCTTGATTGTACCACGGACAGTCAATGTCCATTTTGTAACACCCGTTTTTCATACAGAAACTAATTCGTCCAAATGCATAATGGTAATTTTAGACCATGTACCAGCAGACACACAATGATTTAACAATCTTAACGGTAAATTTTGGCTACTGAAAATCTCAGCAATCAAACAAATGCGGTAGCTTATAGGAGTTATGTTTACTGTGTGGCAAAATTTCTCTCTCAGAACCGGCCAAAACGAACTGGCAATATAAAATGCAGTTGGTGCTCCATTATGACACCATAATAATGGCAAAGATCTTCAGTGCATTGATAACTCTGCACTTCGCTTTTGCCGTTAAGGTAAGGTTTTGCTTAATCGTTGCTATATATTAACTGTTTAATCAGTAACCTTTCTTTTTTTTCACACAGCTTTTAAAAAGATCTTTTTAAAGTTATTATTTACCACAACCAGCTGCTCATTTATTATCACTATAAACCGCAAAATCTTCTCTTGATAGTTCTGTCCATCTTTTCTGATAATAAAAAAATTTCATTGAAAATTTTAGCAAAATTTTAAAGTCACATTAAGCAAAATTTCTCTGCACTTCAATCTGTTCTTTTCAAATTATGAGATCTTTAAGAATGTTCCCTTTTCTACTCCTTGCTGTAAAACATTGAAAAAACCGTGTTTATAAGAAGGCGCAAAAATTTTTCTTTTCAAACACTGTTTGAAGACTTTTTTGATGTCTTCAATTTCAAACCTCAGTAAATTCTAAAGTTATTTATGCCTGTTAGCAATAAAGTAACAGGTGTGAAAAATGCGGTAAATAAGCTAAACTTTTTCAGCAAAATTACTTACGTCATATTATTGAGGGACCTGGAATAAGAGCTCCCGTATGCTCATGCATAGCGCCTTCATCTGCACAAACTGCACCAGTATGTTCATGTTATCACCCACATCATAATGTTTCTGAAGATCAAATGCGATGTATCCCAGCTTGCCAGGCATCTTGCGTTCAGTCCTGCGTTGATCTGCAACAAACACTACCGGCATGTCAAGTTGCATGCGATTCTACCTGTTTTAACAGCTGTAAAGTTGCAACAGCAGATCGAACACCCATAATACCACATTCTGTAGAGAACTCAAGGCAAAATCAGCTAACTTCCCAACAAATTTTCGCTACCGCTGCCCAGCAAAAACCGACTTTGCAGCAACTGATAATGATGGAGAAGCAAAATTCGGGATTTTTATCAGGAGAAGCACCTTTAGAATATATCTTAAACCCTGCTAAAAAGCAAGAAATTGAGCGACTAATTAAATCAAAAACTGTTCAATATTCTACAAGAGTGCCTGAAAATGCTCTACCAATTTCTAATAAAGTTGGGCAAGCAAATCATTTAGCGCGGTTTTACACGTTTGCTGCCTCACAACAAGGAAGTTTTTGTAATGATATTTGCATACAACAGTGCCCCGAGACCTCAGAGCAAAATTCTTGTCAAGACTTCTGTTCAGCTCAATGGTAAGTTCTGATAATGCCGCGTAAATCCGTAAAAAAAACAATTTTTTTTCGCAGTTTAAAGGTGAAAAGTGACGAGATCGAAGATATTATAGCATCTGTACATACAGCTTTCATAAAACACCTTTCAGAAACGACTTAGCTTTAGCTATTTTAAAAGAAAAAGTTGTTTTTTATTTTATATAAGGTCATTAAGAATTGAAATTTGAAGTGCTGTTCGCAGCAAAATCCAAATTTAGCCGAAGCACCACTCCAACCGGTAATCATACAAGTGATTTAATATAAGTTTTTTTAGCTTTCAACTAGTTTAGCTTCTTTTTCGTAACCTTTTTCGTTTTCAGTAAACGATGAACTTCCTTATGTAAATAAATTAAATAAATTAGAAATCACTATAGGATGTATGCAACTTTGATTTAAAGAAGAGAAAAGTTTAAAAAGAATTAATTGTAGCAGTCCTGGGTCGCCAGTCGTAACAACGAACGCGAACGATCCCCAAAATCTTCTTTTGTCGCCTACGAGTTACACAGCTGTTCCAGAAACAGTAACTAATTCTCCTCAGTACCAGCAGCCTGCTTACATTACACAAGGATCATCTATTCAAATGCAACAACCCGCTGTAGTCACACAAGTAGAACAGGTGCTAAGTCCTTATACGATGCAATCACATATCGACAATATGAATGTAGCAGCAAATTCGATTACACCAAATATACAAAATGAAATTGGCATGTCTCAAAATGTCGCTGTTAACGAAACAGAATTAAAACCAATTATTTTTGTTGACACTGCTCCTCTAACTGAAACGGACTATGAGCAACTGTTTCCTTTAATCAAAGAAAAAGGTTCAAACATTATCTGTATTGATATTTGTCTGCCATATTGTGCCGACCAATGCGTAACGCTAAGAACTGCCAATAACTCGTCGACTTTGCAAGGGCAATCAGGATCTATTCCAGAACCGCAATTACCGACGCAATCAGTCACACGGGAGTTGCAGTCTTGGCAACAGCAGCGGCTCCAAATGGGAGGATCTCAAAACCAGCAAATGCAAGACGTTGTTTATTCTTCTGAACAACCTTCATATATTTATCAAACAAGAATGCAGATCCATAATACTCAAACAGACCCATATCAGGCGTCCATGCAACAAGCAGAACAGTCTCCAGCTTCAGTTCAGTCAGTCCAGCAACCAATCCGATACCAGCAGCAGCCACAACAACAACAACAACAGCAACAATTACCACATCTACAGCAACAACAGCAACTACTACAACAGCAACAACAAAAGCAACAACAACAACAACAAGAACAACAACAACAACAACAACAACAGCAGCAGCAGCAGCAACAATTACCACAACTACAGCAACAACAGCAACTACTACTACAGCAACAGCAACAATTACAACAACCACTAATTCCTTTGCAAGTGACGGGACAAGGCCAGAATCATTACCAACAAGTACTTCAACCTGCACCCTCCCAACAACCTGTACAGCAAGTGACAGACGAGTATCAGGAAGTACAACATGCACTGAACTTGTTACAACCAGTACAAAAAGAGCAAGAGCAATATCAGATAACGCAGCAAAATCCAATTCGAGTAAATTTAGCGCAACAACCATTGACCGATTATCACCAAGTACAGAAGCCCTCAGCCATAATGCAACCAGCGTCAAATTCCAAGAATCAGTACCAAGAGATACAGCAGCCGGTTTTTGTACAGGGAATACAGCAAGATTTAGCTGCAGTTCAACCACCAAATGAAGCTCATAATATGTTGCAGCAGATACAGCAAACAGCAGTTTTGCCGCAGCCGTCGCAACAGAATGATCTAAGCCCCCAGCAAATGCAGCAGGTGGTAATTTCAGGTAAGCAGCCAGAACAAACAATTTATCAACAAATACAGCCCACAGTGCCGCCACAGCCGCTACAGCAAGTATATAATTCAAATCAACAGATGCAGCAGGTGCCAAATCCTACCATTTACGTACAGGCAAAGCAGCAAGTTCAAGACCAGTATCAGCAGATAACACCGACTTTAAATACAGTGCAACCAGGGCAACAAGTCGGTAGTCGGTATCAGCAAGTAGAACAGCTTGCAACACCATTACAATCTTCCGTCCAGTCCGTGACGCAAACTGAGATTTCTCGGCAGCAGCAACTTATTGAGCCCCCGACAGTGCTAAGGAGAAATGAAACAAACCTTGTTTTTGGATCATCATCACAGGAAAATGCCCCTGCAATAAGTATAGTAGTTTGCATTGTAATATGTATGCCTGCCTGCACGGCAGAATGCCTTCAAAAGGCTGATAGTACATCTCTAAACAACTTCTCCTCAGCACCTTCGGTTCAAAGCGCTTTAGAACCATCCTATATGCCTTTAATCGAAATGAGGGTACAACCTGACCCATCTACAGCACCGTCTTCACCTCAGCAGTGGATTCCAAATTTGGAAATGTTTCAGCAGCCACCCCAGCAAAACGAAAATACGGGGCAAACACAAAATTTTCAAATGCAGGCACCTGATCAGCAAGTTCTGCAAGGCGGCTTGAGGCTGATAAATCAGTCCTCGGAAGTACAGCAACAGCAGTACCAGAAGCAGTATCAAATACAGCAAGAACAGGGTACGCTTGTGCAAAACTATCAGAATTTGCCAGAATCACAACCAAATTTCTCTATGACGCCTGTGAATACCCGAAATAATAACGTAATAATTGACCAGCAATTTTCACCCGTTAACAATAACTGTGCGCAGCAATGCGGAAATACTTGTCAACAGCACTGTGTATCAGAAAACGCAGACCCGACTACGTGTAATAATGCTTGCTCAGTTTCTTGTGCTCGAATTTGTAGGTCAGTACAGAGTCATAAGCGGGAGCAGTCAGATTTGCGATATCGACTTGAATCGACTGATGTTATACAGAAGTTAGTGCACTCTGTATTGCAAAATTCCACTTGGACAAACAAACCCTGCATTGCCCGCCACGTAGACGAGAGTGACTGCCTTTGTCGTAGGTGTATAACGGGCCATAAGTGCTGTAAACAAAAAAAGGTGTGAAGATTCATTAATTATGAAGTTATTTGTACAAAAATTTTTCAATGAAAAAAAAAGTTTAATAAAAAATTTGCTATTTTGTTATGTTAAATTTATTTTTATGGATTTAAAACAATAACATAACAAATTGTAAATAATTTTTACTGTGTATGACTGACCAGTTAATTTTGTACACCGATATTTTTAGATAATGAATCAGAAGAAAATACTTCGTAATTTTTTGTTGTGATTTAAGCCTTCCTCAATTTGTAAACTCTTTTAAAGATATCATATATCTGTTAAATATTAGTTACGGATGATTTTGCGGTAAGTTTTATATAATTAACATCAACATCAAAGATGATTTAATACTGATGATTTTATGTGTTCACGATATAATGGATAACAGAATTTTCAGCATAAATTTAACAAAGACCGGTAATTTTAGTGTTCTAATGCTTCCGGTTTTAGCGGGCATATTAATGTGTTCTGTTCGTAGTGGTTAAACCACGTATATGTACTGGCAATAACCTTGAAATAACTGTAACAATTCTTTTTTAAAACTTATTAGCGAGCAGAGTATGCTGATTCGATAGGGGTTATCTCAATAGTGTTTTCAGTTATCACTACTTATATGACAGTTAATAAACCTTTATTCTACTTTTTTGAAGCACATGTTTATTTCATCAATAAAAACTTGTTCTTCGTCATATCAATTGTATTTTGGGATACAGGAAATCCGAGACAAAAAAGTTGCTTTTATACGCTTCTGAAAACTTAAAGTTGTAGAACCAAAATTTACAATAGCTAGAGAGATGTATTTGCAATTTTTTGGGTAGTTTCTGTAAAATAAACACTGTAAACAACTTGTTCATTTAGGTACAACTTTTCATTTTCCTTCTCACCGAAAACTAACCGAGCTGTGAAAAGAGACCAAATTTTATTTTTAGTTATATTAATGACATTGTCAAAGGCTTTGATAAAATTGTCGATGAAAGACCTCGGTCACCTACAGTCTACATCACTACAGTCATTTTCTTCCTTTTTTTTCCTTCTGGTATTGATAATGTTAGCGACTATTACAGTTGATTTCAGAACCTTATTTTCACTTTACCGCGGCAGCCATAGATTAATCTTCAAAAGATTTCTTGCCAATACTGTTTCTGTATGCTTGGCAATAAAAAGCAACTAAGACTTTCTCAAGTTGCAACTGAAATAATTCTGTAAACCAGTTGTTCCAAAGTAATTCTTTTGAAGTATTAAACTTTGTTGACACCGCTGTTGTTGTCGTAGTTGGTATTACTGGTACTAGTGATAGCAGCCATAACGACTTTTTTCTTGTTCTATTGGTGGAATTCTTAGTATCATTAATTCGGGTTTCTTCATCCAGCTCTTCTGTCCTTTTCACATCGATAATACAGTTGTGGAATTTTCGTTGACGGAGGATCACAGCTAGACTTTCATTAATAATACGAAGGCAAGTTAAAGATTAAGAAGTTTCTTTTAGTCAAAAACAGCGTGAAGTAACAAAGGTAAAGTCATGAATCTAAACTGTATGCTTGGAACACATGCAGTTGTTTATACATACCGTCAATCAAGTAAATATACATTTATATACATATGGGCCATTCCATGCCAAATTGCACACCTTCGTACATCACCTTCTCAGATTTTTTTCATTTTTTGCTGATTAGTAAAGTCTGGGCTAGCATAAAGAAAGCCGTGAAGAAAATCCGGAAAAATAAATTTCCCGCCAAGTTACA